TATCGAGGGTCTTTGATAAAACACCCATGTTCGAGGGACATGACTATTTTAATAAGCAACACAATGGGATTACCCTAAGGGTGCAAGTATGAATAGAGTGTTTGATTTACATGCATTTAATCTTGATTAGGATTATCTATTTGTGGATTTTATATCTTGCCATACACACCCTAATTACTAGCATTTATGTTTGAAAGTAATAAATTGCAGAAATGTAAAGGTCCTACACTATTACATCATTTAGGGGTGGGGGGTACAAATTTACAAATGGGGATTTGCAAGAATTTAAATCCTAATTAATTATTACAACCATATTGAAATGTACAATGCAAGGAAGAAAAAGGACTTGTTTAGAAAATGGTTTTTGTCTTTAATGAATTAAGAAAAATAAATAAATTAATTAATAAAGAGAAAATATTTTTATGTCCTTTTTATATTAATAAAAAGGGATTAATATTGAAAATGATAAAAAAGGGGAAATAATGAGACAAAATTAGCATGCTGCTGAAAGTAAAACAAAGGGGATCAGAAGTTCTGATGTCGGGCGCGCTGTGGTTCAGAAAGAAGCGTCAGAAGTTATAGACTAATACACTCCGAGGTCCTGCAAGAACGTTAGAGGGAAAACAAATAAGTTCTGGGTTGCTACGTACCGATCTTCTGAATGTTAGAACTGTGAGAAAGTCTTAGAAGTTTTGTGTATTAAAACAGTGAGGAGAACTCAGAAGTTCAATGTTGTGCTAAATCAGTGAGTGAATGTCATAAGTTCAGTGTGTTTAAATAGTGAGAAAATCATAGAAGTTCTGTGTATTTAAAACAGTGAGGAAAATTCAGAAGTTCAGTGTTGTGCTAAAGCAGTGAGTGAAAGTCAGAAGTTTTATGTGGCATTTCAACTCCTTCCTTACATTAATAAGCACATTAACAACTTATTCAGTTCTTAACAAACAGCAAATCAGAAAAATGAAAAGCACAACGGTTTATAGAAGTTATAATCCTAATCCTGAATATAGCTTTATTCAAGAAGTTCTGATCCACAGTTTTTTCTACTTACGCAATGATATGGACAACATCAATACTATGATATTTACATATTTAATGATATTCTAAATGAAAAGATTCAAAGTCAGAAAGACTTACCTTAAACCTGGAACGTGTGTTTGGGACTTGAGCTGGTGCTTTCAGATGTTCTGGAGTCAGCAAGAACAACAGAAGAGAAAATGCTAAGTTCTTTGATTCAAAGGGAAGAACAAAGGTTTTGTTTAGGAGTTGCGAAGGTTTTTTATTATTTCCTTTTCTCTCTTAGATAATTCTCTCTATCTCTCTCTAAAATCCAGTCCCTTGCAAGTGTGATGAACAACTTATTTATAGGTGAGTTTGTTGTGGTTTTGGGGGGAAAACAAATGGGATTTAAACCTTTTTGGTATACTGTTCCATTGCTTTTTAATCACGGTTTTTGTATGATAATTTGGTGCAAAGATAGGGTTTGAGAAAAATGCAGGCGTGGACTAGATCAACAGCAATTTGGAGTGTTGTGGCAGTTGGTTGCAAGACTGTGCTATAGCAGTGCAGCAGGTTGCTCAAACGAGGTTTTAGGATTTGGTGATGTTCTGATCGCAGAAGACCAGAATGAGACTCGAAGGGTGATGTTCTGACCGAAGCGTTGAACATAGCCTTCCTATGTTGAAGAATCATGTTCTGACCGAAGAGAATTGCCTCCACATGTTCTGATTGAAGCATCATGCTCTGAACCGTGTTTGCAAATTCTGACTGCATTTGCGTGGAGGCTGGCTCAGAAGTTCTGAAGCATCATATTCTCTTAACACTTAGAAAAATTTCTAAATGCTTAGAAAATTTGATTTTTTCAAAGTAATTTTTGACTTTTGATTTTGATGAACTAACTTCATATCTTGATGAAATATAATCGTTGAAACTTGATTTTTGATTCAAAAGTCAAACTTTGAATTTTCAGTGTGCATTTGACCATTTTGCCCTTGTGAATGACTTTGCTTAGAAAATTGTATTCTGAGACTTGAAACTTGCCAGAAGCAAACCTGAGGGTATAGAATGATCTTTTGAGAAATGAGAGGGAAAATTTTAGGGTACAACACATTGTAATATAGTTTCAGTAATCCTACAAAGTTCCATGTTTTTCCATGATTTTTTTTACAACATGCATTGATAGGTTTTCCCCTAGGGAAAATAAGACAGTCGCACTCTCCCAGTAGTGTATTTCCTTAGCTACATCATCTTCCTCAATGATAACTTCCATCTCTCCATTAACAATGGTTGGTGCAATAAATTCCACCACCATACCTCTATCTTGATTCTGATTTCCCTTAATAATATCCACCCAAGGTTTCTTATCCTTCATGGGGCTCAGAGTTTCTGTTTCAGAGTTCTTCTTCTGCTCCAATTCATCCAATGACTTCTAGGTTGGTGTCTCCATTGAGTTTTCCGCGTGAGTTTATTTCATGTCTTTCTGAATATTGTCAACACTCCCATTTGGTTCTACCGTTGCTTGCAATATGATGATTTTATCCGCTGTCTTTTGGGATGCCACCACCTATTTTTTTGGCCGACTGGCGCCCCATTTTGCAGACATCGAAACCCTAGCCCCAGTAGAGACAACACTTATATATTTTAATCTACTAGCTATAATTTGAAAACATTAATATATGCATGTTGATATGTGATAATAAGAAGAATATATATGTTTGAGTTCTATGCCTTAGGAAATTTTGGCTTTGCATGTGATGTGATGTAACTTTTGCTTTCTGACATGATTGGCTTGAGAAGCCATTTAAGGTTGGAGATCCTTGTTAATTATTATTACTTAGCTTTCTTTTGAATGGTGAATAGAAATGATTTATGTTGTAATTTCAAGATCATAAGTATACCTTCTATTTTTTCCGGATAAATAAATAGTAGCCTATTTTTCCAAGTGGTGCTTTTATAATAGTAGAGTAAATATCCAAATCACTTCCTGACAAAAAATGCTACACCCAAAAGAGTTATGATCCTCGACCATTACAAACGGGGAATATGTTAGTCCTCTATTTTGTTTTATCCATAATTTACTATTATTTTGGTGAAGTGTTACATTGACTTGTCAATTGTTTAAGCCAAATTATTAGTCCATATATTCATTTTTTATTTGATTTGATCAGATTCATGAAAAAGGGCCATATTATTTCTTTCTTAGATTGACCCAAATTAATTCCTTATATTCATAGTTTATTTGATTATTATGTTATATTGTGTTTTCTTGTGAGCAGGTGATTTCAGATCATTTGTATGTAGAAGAAGTTGTTGGAATAAAAGGCAAAGTTAGCATTGAGGAACTATGAGTAGGTTGTATAGGCTAGACAGGCCACTAAATTTGCGTGATGGATATGTCAAAACTCTTATTTTATGGTTGGTTCACTCTTTAATAACCATGTTCAAGTTTGTTGGATGAATGAAATTTGTTGGTTGCATTTGCATGCGTATAAAACTTAATCGAAAAAAATAACAGAACTGAAGTAGAGTATGATTAATTCAATAAAATTTGAAAATGCATAACAAGAAACCCACCGAAGAAACCAACGTCTCACAAGAGTGAAAAGGTTGTTATCTTGTTCAAAAATAAAAAAGACATTGTTACCTTTGTTGTGAGATTAATGTATGAAGAAGAAGAAGAGCGAACTTTTCATGAAGAAAATAGATAAATTTACGAAGGTTTAAAACCCCCGCAATCTTTTTTTTTTTTTTTGCCATTAAAGGTGTGATTGATTTAAGAGAGAGTAAGGTGAGAGAGAAGTATGAAAGAGAGAGTCAATTTCTCTTGATTTGTTTAGAAGAGAGAAAGAAATATGTGGGATCCACCATTTTTTTCAATCTCTTCAAAATAGAGAAGAAAGAGAGAAATGTTAATTTGATACTAAATTGTCATTTATACCCCTATTTTTTTCTAATTCAAAATTATTATTAAGGATAATTTGATATTTTTAATAACCATCAACATTTCTCTCTTCTATTTTTCTCTTATACTTCTTTTATAATAAACAATACATCAAATCTTCTTTATTTCTCACATCTTTCTCTCTTCTTCCACTCTCTCTTATATATTTCTCTTTTCTAACTTTCTCTTCACAATCAATCACACCCTAAGTGATGTGGCATGACATATGACGTGCCACGTAGGCCTCCATTAGTGGATACTAACGGGAGAAACCACTTTTAGGTATGAAAAAGTTTGTGAGGACCATTGTTTGAAAGAAAATTTTAAAAAGACTTAAATTAAAGATTGTCATATTTATGAGGACCTCTGACATATTTAACTCTAAAATAAAATATTCTTATGACATTAAGAGGTACTAGTACTATAGTAAAAACATTATTCTCGCTCTTACTTTTATATATTTTTTAAATGTATGTGAAATAATCAACTAGCTCACTCATTGTGAGACGAAAGAAGTAAATTTATTAAATATCTCTTACAAAAATATTGAAAGAAATAATTGTGTGTTTAAATGTTGCATTGAAGTGTTTTGAACGACAACAATGTTATCTGGACACCCCTTTTTTACAACAATATCTATCTCATATGCACTGTTCACCGTATTTATACGATGAATAATATTTTTTTAAATAATTTTTTTATAAATAATATATAAACAGTGACTTTTATGATAAAATAAAGTTAATTAATAAAATAAAAAAATTAATTAATGAAATAATGAAATTGATTAATAAATATTTAAATATTAAAAATAATTTAATAATAAAATAAAATAAATTAATCAAAATAAAAAATTAGTTAATGAAATAGAATAAACAAGACTTTGTCCACGTATACACCGGTAGCATTAACTTGAGTGAGGTGTGTGTGCAACAAGAAAGCAAGCGAACGTATGTGTTAGAATGTTAAGAAGCTGGAAGTGGGGTCGTCGGTGTGTCTGGGTAGACTCAAATAGTTAAATCTTTGGTCTCAAAATTGAGGTAGCATAACAAAGAGAAAGAAAATGATGTCATCAGGTTGCGTGCTGTCTTCAACTTCAACTGCAAATGCACGAACTGCCTTCTCTCCCCTCAACTGCGCAACAAGAGATCCATCCTTCTCTTCACCATCGTTTTCTTTCTCCAACCGCACCTTCAATCCCCTATGTCTCAGGTACATTCTCACCTACTCTTCCCTTTCATTTTCTCTCTCATCATTTTCCCCCGTACTTTCATTTCAGATCCTTCACTCGCCATCACGGAATCCGAATCGCCGACAAGTCCAAAACCACCACAGCGTTTCGTGTCCGTTCACATGCTGCTCCTTATCCTTTCACTACTCCTAATGTCCAGTGGATCTCTACTGTTTCTGCTCTGTCAGTTCTCTCTCCTATTTTCTATTTTGCTTCTTTCTTGGTTTATTCTACCTATGCAAGAATGTTCTAAATCTTGTAGGGTTTTAGTGCTGGCAAAGGGCACCACTGTACACAAGTCATTTCTTGTTCCATTATTTGCTTTGCAAGCACCTGCAGCTGTCTTTGCCTGGATACAGTATGTTATTAATTCTTTCTTTTTTGTTTTCTCCTTTCTTTTATATGCTTTATTGTTTCAAAATACATGTTCCTATGTTTGTTTGTTCAACTAATTCTGGAGTATTGTATGTACACCAATAGTACATGTTATGCAATTTATCAAAACTATTCATCTAAATTTTTTGCACAATTTGGATAAATAGAGGTAGATATGGCGTGTGGTCAGCATTTTTGGCACTTCTCGTTCGTCTCTTCTTCCATATTCCTGGTATGTTCTCTTATCCATCACATGCACATGAAATTTAGGGATCTTGAAGGACTCACAGTGGACACAATAGATCTCAAGAAACCACTGTATGGCCCTCATTGAGAGTGCTGAAAATCAACATTTTTGTTTTAGGGACATCAGGGCACATGTTTATTCTATATCTTCTCTTTGTAAAAAGTAAAAAATGCAAGACACAAGATAGAAATCCCAACTTTGTAGCATAATAATGGAATTCAAATGAGTTATGTGTTTTGTTTTGTTCTTCATGCTTTTTGAATATTAATGGGAGAAAGGAAATATTTCTGCTGGACATTCTTTGTTTACAGGTGAGCTTGAGTTGCCGTTTATAGCGTTACTCTTGGTGATTGTAGCTCCTTATGAGGCTATAAGATTAAGGTAAGCAAATCCATATTTTTGGGGTCATTGAGCTGTTGTCAACTTTATCCTATTTATTAAAATAAAAACTTATACATCATTATTCTCTTGACCAGGGACACAAAAGAAGGTGCTGCAATTTCTTTATTGATTGCAGCGTATTTGGCTTTCCAGCATTTCTCAAGAACAGGCTTGGAGAAATCATTTGACCAAGGTTCAGTTGTTGCCACCTTAGCCGTCATCGGTATCACTGTTGCGTCTGTGTTGCTTTTCATCTGAGTTGGGTTTGAAATGATTTATGATAACCGTGCATTGTAAATAAGAATAATACCTGTTGAAATGATGATATTGTTCAGATATATATTATGTAACATGTTTGACACTCAAATCCTTTACTTTCTATTTGTTGTATTCTGATTCTATCTACAAGAGTGGTTTCCTTAAGAGTATAAAAAGTTTGTAAATTTATACTCTTTGGAATTACGTAGTGTGAATATAGTGATAGGTAGTGTTAGTATAATGACATATATCTATTAGATGGGAAAGGTAGAGGTAGTTAGGATTAGTAATGAGGAAATAGTTAGAGAAATATGTTATGTTGTATATAAATAATAGGAGGTGATTATAGGGTGACTAAGCTTAATTTGTGAGAGAATTAGGGTGTCTTAAAACACAAGGAGGCTGCATTTAGTTTTGTAATGCGAGTAATTCTCTCCTAAATTTTTTAGTAAACAACTGATTTTAGTTATGGGCATTCTATACATAGAGGATATCAATATTTGTTGAAAATGAGACATTTTGGTAAGCCAGTGCTCAAGCAAGATGAGAAAGCAAACAAAAATTGAATTTGGGTAGAAACCCTTAGACACATCAAGATGAGGTCCAAGTGGCCTTAAAGCTGTCATTTTGGGAAATGCTCTTTTCAACTCTTATGAGTGCCCTCACACCATCGTGAAAAGTCTATAATGTCCCTACCGTCCGGAGAGATGCATCTCCGGACACATCAATTTTTTCATCAATTTTAGACCAAACTGAAGAGACACTCATTTGACGCTAAATATAATACAAAGATGCATCTTCGTATGTGAAAAAAGTGCGTCTGAAGACGTATCTCCGTAAACAACGTTTATTTAAAAAAATGTGTTAGTGGTCTGGAGATGCATCTCCAAACGCTTTTGATACATATCCTCGCCAGAACCCTTCACTCTTTCTCATTCATTTAGAAACACATTTGAGCTCTCTCATTCCCAACTATTATAATAATTTATTTGTTACACTTGTTATTAGTATTGTATCCGAAACATTTTCAGGGATGAATCATCTCCCACTTCCCTCACATCACCAGGTGGGAAGTTGTGTCTAAATACACAAAGGACTGGCCACACACAATTGCTTTTATTCCGTACGGGGGAATGGTGTGGTCAAGTCATTCAAAGTCTCCCTTGATCGTATGGTATCAGATGATGTTTTCTTATGCCTATACGAGGGTCCCTGTCATACATGTCTATTTGACGTGATTTCTTTATACATTGAATGACTTGCATGTGAGTCATCACTTATGTATTCTTATTTGCTCGAGCGAGCAACACACCAACTTGGCTACTTGCAAATTATTCTAAGAGATCTCCATGAGTTTGCTCCTCACATCGTCTCCCGCAAAGACCTATAGGAGATACTGGATGATTTCGAGAGTCGTCTAGTACCAAAAGAGTATTGTCATGAGACATCTCATGTAAATTGGACTTGTGTTGAGGGCTACTTGTCATGGTTCTATAGAGTGTCACATACTATCATGACACTAAACATTTCTAAAGAACTACCAAGGCCCGCTAACCAGGAGGTACTTGAGGTTTGGGATGAGCAGGCAAAAAGCGTGACAACGTCGACGTGTTGCAGAGATGAGTAGAGAAGCCATAAAGGCAAAACTCTTTGAGGATAGTTCTCCCTAGTTGGCCCTCGTGGAGACCATGGTTGCCGAATTACGGAATATTATGCAGTACATGCGGCAGAGGAACGTCGACGTGTTGCAGAGATGAGTAGAGAAGCCATAAAGGCAAGACTCTTTGAGGATAGTTCTTCCTAGTTGGCCCTCGTGGAGACCATGGTTGCCGAATTACGGAATATTATGCAGTACATGCGGCAGAGGAGGCAAATTGTTAGACATACTCAATAGTTTATATTGAGATGTATTATTATTTTTTTTTGGTATTTACGGATGTATTTTTGGACAATATTATTTGTGAATTATCTTGATTTTTTTATTTATTTATGTATGAACTTTTACTCTCATTTAACTTTAACATACTTGAATTTTACTTTGATTTTACAGTAATATAGTTTAATATAAGTTGGGCTCATAAAAACTAAAGGTTTAGACAATAGTGCTGTTCTGAAATGATTTAAGGAGGATTTCAGAGATGCATCTCTAAAATAATTTTCTCTTAATATTTATCACGCTTTAAAAAAAATTCTGAAGACATTTCGGAGATGCATCTTCGAATATACCAAATATCATACGAAGATGCATCTTTGGATCATATTTTATTAAAAAATGTGATGGATCTCAAAATAGCGCATTTTAGTATTTAAGTGTGTTGAAGATGTATCTTTGAACGTATGAAGGATAGTTTTGAATTTTCAAGAGTGTAGTACTTATATAAGAGTCTGTTGAGCATTTCCTCTAAAAAAAACTTAACCCCAACCTACATATTTTTGGGCATCAAAATTTCCAATAATAATAGAGGATTGCTTCTCCCACCCTAAGTAATAGAGATATATTCTATGAAAATTCAAAAGTTCTCTCAAATTCAAAAATGTACTTTTAGATACACCACACATACCTCATATTCTTTCGTGTGTTTCATAAGTAAATCACACCTTATTTATATTTAAAAAAATAATAATACATATATTTTCAGACTAATTTCGAAAGTATGAAAACTAAAGTGTTTCTTCACAAAATTGCCTATAAGTAGTGAACATTCTCACCCAAGAGTTTTAATATCCTTTGTTTTGCTCCAATAAAAAAATCGATCATCACTTATCATTGTCAGATTTCAATTTATTAGTTTAAAATGTAAACCAAACCAACAATGCAATTCAAAGCAGGGTTAAGCAAACTAAATAAAACCCAACCTCTCTTTTGCAATTAAATCTGATAAAAGCGATCATGATAAGGCAAAAATAACAAGAGGGGACTGCGTTTATAACAAGAGGGGACTGTGTTCAAGGGACTGCGTTTAATGCAGAAGTTTTCATAATATCACCCTAAAGTATATTTTCAAACTATTTTTCAAAGTACTTACTCATGAATTTGGTATATTTGAGTGTTGGCTGAAGATTTTGATAATGTTATCTAGAATTCAAAAGAGTTAAAAGTTCTGATCGAAATGGAACTGAACACCATATTTCGAAGTTGCAGAAGCAGTGTTTCGAATGAGTGTGTCAAAGCTTGAAGCTTCGAACGGTGATCATGGGAAAATATCCAAAGGGGTCTCGAAACAACAGCGAGGCTAGGTTTGGGAAGAGCGTTCGAAACGGAGAAACACCAAAGCATTTAAAATTTAAATGGAAGCGGGACTTTCAAAGTTTGAAAGTTATGTGTTGGAGCATTTGGGGACACGTGGAAAGATGAAAGAAGCATTGTCTTGCATGTTCGAAACGTGGCATGATCCTATAGCGAGACCATTAGGGTCGAATTAGTATAAATAGAAGTCTTAGTATTAGGATTTCAGGGTGTCATATCTGTTATACAAAATACTCAATAACATTCAAACTACCACATGGCAAGGGAAACGAATGCAAGAGAGATGTATGTATGATAGCACCATGTATTTCTAACTTAATGAAAGCCTTTTTACCATTTCCAGTACTTTCCTCTTTTCTTTTTATCGAATAACATTTACAAGTTTCTTTATTTATCGTCTTTTCATTTCAAAGTCTTTTCCTCAAAAGTTTTACTCTTTATTGCTTTCTTTATATTTCGAGCACTTTATATTTCAGAGAACTGTTATGCTTTCAATACCTTTACTTCCAAGTATTGTTTTTCAAACGCATCCTTTTACTTAAAATTGCATTAAACGCTTTCTTCACATTTTAAACTTCTACATTCCAGAAACCTTTTATGTTAAATGTTTTGCAAATCGAAACCATTTACTTCATTTTTCATACAGTTTTATATGTCTCTTCAATCAGCATTACAATTAGCATTTATTCGTATAATTTAGTTTTCATGTACAATTTGACCACATTTTTAAACTCTTAGAGAGAAGGATCGAAATAAACCAAACACTTGTACAATAGCAACCATGAATAATTGTTCGATTGTGAGAGTAACTTTAATATCCAAGGAGTCCTAGGATCAATCTAGTCGATCCTGTGAGTTACCAGAGAGATTGAGTAGCGTTAATAAAGATTATTCGATAGTTTGGAAGACTAGCGGTTGTTTACCAGAAATCACTGGAAACAAATTGGCACACCCGGTGGGACCAATAGTTGGATATCAGAATTAAGGATTGTCGAGACATAGCCATCCCAAAAACGTAGGAACCATAAGAAATTTGCTGTTTTATGAACCTAAGAAGTGGTAAGATAACCAACAGCAACCAACCTTTATCCAGAAGAAAACGTTTGGACAAAATGTCTAATTCAGACAATCAACAAGGAAACCAAGGTGACCCACATGCAACAAGCACTAACGCGTCCATTTCGAGCGGAACATCTAATGTAATCCCTTCGAATGCACAGTCTGTTGCATCTTCAACCAGTAACATAGCCACCACTGGAGTAAGTGGCATATCAACTAACAGTTCGATCTTAGGAAATACTGGAACTATGGGCTACCCTGGGGGATTCGTTCCACCACCAGGAACACAATCCCATTTAGCCACACCATTAACTAGACCACCCGGCTTCGATGGGAATAGAATTAGAAGTTCTTCTTACGGAATGCCAACATCTTTTATGGCAGGATTACACAATTCCACTTCGAATTCATCCCCACAACTAGGATCTGGGTCTGGGGCGAACCAATTTATGACAAATAACCAAGGGTCAGGAGGTTATAGCACGTTGCCTATCCTGACCACAGATAACCAGTTGGCTTTAGGCAATTGATGGATGACAGCAACCACAACATGATAGGGGTGTTAGCGCAAACCATGCAGGAAATATTTGCCCCAATAGTTCAGAATGTGACTGTGACGAACAGGGAAAACGCTGACAATATGAGTCGAATAGCATATTTCTTTGCTCCCACAGAAAGGCGTAGGCAGAACCAG